TGTCATAATTTAAAACGTAAGTACCGTTCATCGGTCAACGTATCCTCGAAAAAGTATGGCCAAGAAAAGTTGAACCAATAATCCTACCCGCTTTTCTTCATTTGAAAAATTCATATTTACAATTTTTGTTTATTTTAATTTACAAAGTTTGGATGTGTCAGTTTCACATTACTGAGAGCAAAGACGATTGAACTTGTTCCCATGGCTAACTAAGTGAAATTGTTTAAAAATGGCGCTTTTTATGAAGTCATGGCCAACTATGGTTTCCATTTAAGAAAAACATATGTTTGTGTCATATGTCAAAAATGGCAGGCTTTAGAAAAAAAAACGGAAAACGCAATCTCATTAAGGATGTGATTATCTACAACTTTTATCTGAAAACTTTTTGTCTAAAATAGATTATAATGGAATTAGGGACAATTTTTGAAATAGGCGAAATTTGTTTCTTTTTCGAAATATCTAGTAACCCATGAATTTTTTCAAAAATCTGGAAGGCGCATGTTTATGACCCCACAAAACTGCAATTCTATCCTCATTTAACCGACTCTCTATCTTCAGTAGTTTCCGAGATACCCATAGAGAACATCGTAGGAAACTCACGCTGTATTTTAAATAGAATGGATATATTATGCTTTGAATAAAATTGTGTTGTAAACTGTATTTTAAATAGAATGGATATATTATGCTTTTTCTAATAACAAGGAGCCGTCCTCTGTCGGAAATACTGCGACCTGTAAGGCCTATTGTGTTTGTGTTGTATTCCAAAAATACGCAATAGTAGTTCTATGTTCCCTTAATATTGGGACACCTTGTACAATTTGTAGGAAACATTTTTTTACATTTCTCTTTTTCATTATCATTAACTAACGTTATTTAAAATGACCGTCTTCAAATTATATCTTGTGAGAATTATGTTTAATAGTGGTAATTCTACCTAGTTCCATTGAAATTAGTTCAGTTTGAAAATAATATGTTTCCAGTTGAATATGGAAGCAGGTATACAACTATAAAACAATAGTAGATCTGATGGGAACGGAAAACCGTTACATTATGCGTGAAAATCTGAATTCCTCCTAAAGAAAAGCGATTGTTTAATTCTAGTAAGTATACTGCTATCTTATTGTGACATACTTATAGAACTGATTGGTTAAAGTAGATATATAGGGTGCTCCGAATTGTATTCCGGAAACTTCGACAGCGTAGTCTGCAAATAAAAATAAGTAAAAATGTTTGTATAAATGTATGTCCTAAAATCCGTAGTTTTGGAGATACAGGGTGTAGAATGTAGAAGTTTCATTTTTGTTTGGATTTTTCCAAATAATTTATGAAGTAACGTCAATATTTGGATGAAAATTGGTCTCTGGGAGTTTTTTGATATGAGAAATTTGATTTTGATATCAATATAACTCCTATTTGTAGGGGGCACCACCTACATGTGTTTTAACTGTTTTGAAGAGTAATAACTTTTCGTCCGTACCTGTATAAAACTACTGAGTGAAAAAATATACAATTCCGGGACTTTTTACACAAAAAGCGTCTCTTGGTAAAAATCGCTACAAGCAACCGTTCTCAAGATATTTAGAATAATTAATTATTTATATTAATTATTATTTTATTTTATTTTTATGTTATTTCAATTTTTTATATTCAATACATGTCATTACTGACAAAAAATAAACACGCTGAGTAGATAGTTATTTTTTTTATTCATTTGACTGAAATAATAAATTTGAGAAATTTTTATTTTTTTAAATAAATCAAAATATTTCTGCGAAAAAAAAATGATAATAAAACAGTATCTGGTGAACTTTTGACACAAAAACATTTCAAATTTATGATTCCAGTATTCCAGTTTAATAACTATTTAGTCAACATGTTTAATTTATGTCAATGATGATAGGTATTGATAATTTTGATTTAAATATTTCGAGACCAAAAGACCTTTCTTATGTATATCTACAAAGTCATAAATGTCAAAAAAGTCGTAAATGTATATTTTTTTGCTCAGTAGTTCTATACAGGTACGGACGAAAATTTATTATACTTCAAACCAGTTAAAATATGTAGGTGGCGCCCTCCACAAGTAGGAGTCATATTGACTTCAAAAACAAATTTCTCATGTCAAAAAACTCCCAGACACCAATTTTCATCCAAATATTCACGTTACTTTATAAATTATTTGGCGGAAGTTTACATTGTTTTCATTTTGAAATCCACACACAGACATAGACTATTTTAGTTTAAACAGTGGCTGCTGAAAACGAGAACATCTTGAACACAAATTGCAGAAAATATTTCGAAACATTTCCTCTAAAGTTTTAATTTCGTATCGAAACATATCAGGAAACGGCTAGTATACCGTTTCCATTTCGTGTCAAGAAACAGACACGTTTATTAAACATTACCTAAAATTTGTCCAAATATGCTACTTGGAAAGGGAGCCAATATTTGGTTGGTTTAAAATTTGTATGGGATTGTAAATACACAACTTGCCTGATGCCGATGCGCAACGCACAACCCGGTATATTATCTTTAGAGCGTACCAATTTAAAAATATCAAAATCGCAATAATTGCTGTTATAGTTGCAGCGATTTATAAATCACATCCGCAGTTTCAATTTTGGTTGGAACATTGCAGTCCCTACTTTTAAGGAACCATAAGCAAAAAAATCAGGAAGGCAGTTCCAAGGTTGCCACCTTTTGTATTTTGAAAAATCGGGACAGTATACTGGTGCAACCTGTTTTCTTAAATATAACATTTTAGTTTTATGTGCTGTAGCGTTTTTTAAACCACTACCACTGCGAACGGCAGCTTTTCATCGGAGAGCAGTCGTGAATAAGGTATCTCACTAGAGAGAAAATTAATCAGTAATAATCAACAAAAGATATATAGATATTGGGCGCCAGGCATGTACAGAGAAAAAAAAACACAGTTGTATAATGCTTAAAACTAATGACTATATTTATTCATGACGTTCTTTGCTGATACATGACATTGTAGAGTTCTAGTAAATATATAGTCGTTATATGTCAAAGAAAGTGGTGGTAAGAGTCGTACCAAATATCAATGAAAACAACTACGATAAAATACAGGACATGTAAAGTTTAAGAGAAAATATGAAATGTAGCATTACTTTAATTAATTTGATATATTCCATATGAGGATAAATCGAAGATGTTACAACCTGTAGATTCTAGAATCTATGTTTGATTATCCATCTATTAAAATAGTGCAATAATATCTATAAAAGTAATACCATTACAAGACGTAATGCAATGAAACTTAAGATCTAAATTATATTTTAAAGATTATATCGACATGAATGTTCTTAACAATCTAACCACTGAACATAGTCTGTACGATATTACTTAAGATGTACGTTATGATTTAAGACTGTAAATGTTTTAAATGTTAAATGTAAAACTATAACTTAAATATACACTTAGCTGTTCTTTTATGTAACCTTGCTTCAAACAGTAGCAGCGTGAGGTGGTCTAGCATCTCTGTACTGTCTGTCGGCGATCCTGTTGGTCAAAACAACAAAAGGGGCCAGATTGAGGACACCGTGAATCACTACAGCCGTAGCTACTGACTAGGCTTAGAAATGGGAGTGAAGCAGCATGGGACTCAAGCTACATCCACGCTGTGGCACTTAGATGTAAGAAAAAATCGTTCTTACTGGGGACACTCGTCCACAGGACATCTTGGAAATAGTCCGTACCTTGGACACAGTCCGTACCTTGGAAATAGTCCGTACCTTGGACACAGTCCGTATCTTGGACACAGTCCGTACCTTGGAAATAGTCCGTACCTTGGACCCTCGAAATACTTCTGAGGGCTCAATAAATAACAAACAACATGTCCTTTCTTCCATGTGACATTCTGGAGGACAAAAGAAAAGGGACGCCAACGTGCCAGCAAAACACAAATACAAGTTGGGACATCCGTAACTCTACCCTGTTGCTTTGAAATATCAGCTGATTCCTATTATACAGCAAGATTTAAATAATCACCATTTCTAAAAGCTGGGATACAACAGAGGGTCAAAACGAAGTGAGGTTAAGCACGGAGAGTTGACAGAAGCGATGTTGACAGCGCGCGCCTCCACAGAATAGTAACAGGGTTGTGTCGAACGATAACAGGGTTGGCGACTAGGGAACGTAAAAATTACGCGTCAAATAAACTATCCGGCCTGAACGAGAGGGAATCCGGTGATGATAGGCCAGACATCATATATCATATGTAAAAAAGACATGTAACGAACTAAAAACGTTACAGTGCCCATTAGATTTTGAAACAATATTTTATGTCTTTTTGCGTTAATTTAAAAAAACAATTAGAAATTTATAAATAATTATGTAAAAATAAAAAATAAAAAGTTGAAAACAAAATTAGTAAACAATTAATTAAATCTAAAACAACTAGAATAAAACCTAAAGAAAATCAAAAGTTTCAGCTGTATAATCTGTACAATTGGTTTTATTAGTTCCAACACCCCAACTGTAATGAATATTTTTTATTTTTTTTGTTGCTGTAATAATAAGAGCCGTGTCATTTTTAATAAAATTAGGTATAAATAACAATGAAGATATATAATTTACTCCGGTTTTAAAAATACTTAATTTTTTTATCTACAATTTTTATATCCTTTTTGGCAAATTTCCTTTACGCAAGTTCTTATTATCGATAACTCATTAAACAGAGTATCAATATTTTTTTTAATTGTAAAGTTTCGAAGATTTTAATTAATTCGTGGAAAAGAACTGTTTTTTAATTCGAGAAATTAATAACCATGTAGTTTTAATAATAAATTTTACAATTTTATTGTTTAATAAAAACGTGGCTATTAAACAAATAAAAATCGGGACATTAGGGCTTTGCGTGGGGACGCGGGACTTTTGGATCAAAATCGGGACTGTCCCGACGAAATCGGGACAGGTGGTGGGAACCCTGGGTAGTTCTGAACACTACATTAATAATGAGTTAATGATAAATTTACCTGTGTTTTTAATCCTTTGAAAAACGTCTCCACTTTTTGTTTCTCTACGTCTGAGATAAGACTTTCCATCACTTTCCTGTCGTGAATGTCGGACGAAGCTTCGCTCTCTGCCCGTCCCTCACTTCCGTCATGTTCGCCGTAAGTACTGCCCGACGCTGTAGTACTGGAATCGCCACTGTTTTCACCTAACATTAAAACAAGACGGCGTTGTTAGCTTTTGATTACTAATAAAGTAAAAACGTGAAATCATAACATTACTCTATCTAATCTACCTTATCTTTGTACTTCATTATCTATATATAGGTCTGATAGGTTTAGCGAGAACCAAACAGGAAGATATTGTGATATAGGTATTTTCTAAGCTCTTTAAATAGTTATTCGTGTTCTTAGATAAACATATCAAAACATATAAATACAGAATGAATTAAAATAAATAGACACAGGGAAGCCCACTGTTCCAAAAACTCATATTAGTTCTGTTCAAACTGATATCAGAGCTGCATTGTTTACGCGGTGTTTCAAATTCGACTCTCACCATTTGGATCTAGGAAACGGTAACAGACACGTGGTGTCTTAAAATGGGCCAAAGTTGTCGGTTAGTGAGCCCAATCGTTTAGTAATTGAACTTATCTTTGGTTGTTGACAGAAAAAATCTATAAAGACATTCTCACAGAAACTTTCTTAGCTTCATCCTTTGGTGACGTGAAAAATCACTTTCGACACGTTTCGTTTTTCTGGAACCAGAGAGAACACTAATAGCTAAAGTGAGAGGGCTTGTGGAATAGGGCATTTCGTAGACAAGTTTATTTTGTCACCGCGCATCCCAGACGCGCATAGCGTTTAGGCCATAGACTTAAAATAAAATATAAACTGAGCATCTCATTCATAAATAGCTGGAACATGCGGTCAGACAATATCTTGTTATTGTTGTGTTATGGTTTTAGGTTATAACGAGTGCGACACGAACGATAGATAGGTTGTCTCTGTCGTAACGGTCGTTCCCTGACGACTCTGCCGAGAAACACTGTCTTTCGTTTCTCAAGTACACCTGAACTCTCCGTCTCATAGCCGGGTAATTTTTTTATTTTAATGAAGCTATAATTAAATTAAAAATATATCGTATTTAAACTTTTTTATATTTTATTAAAATTTAGGACAGGTTTTTTAAATAAAAGTTTAGAAAAAACGTCTTTGAGTCCAAAAAGGATAAAAATAATAAAATACACGTTATAGAAGAAATGTTACAATCGAAATTATGTAATTTTTGAAATTAATAATAAATTATTAATTTTAGTCAAACATTTACAACCCCTAATATTAATCAAAACAGGATCTATTCCACAGATATAATAGAGTCGGCGACAGGGAGAGAAAAAAAAATATGATTGTTGTAATGTTTTTTCTGGTTAAGTGATATCTTATGTAAATTAGAGAAAACATAAATCTGTTCCATTAAAGCAAGGAAGATGATAGGAAGTGGATAAAATGAAAACTACATTTATTTAACTCGGTACTGTCTTTATTATACCCGGTGCGTCCCAAAAGTGGCTCATCCCCCATAATTTTTTTATATTTTCAAATAAAAAAACGAGATTTAGCATGTTAGTATATGACATAAATTAGGATTGATTGACGCATTCAATTGTTTTTCACCCTCAGTATATTATATAGTTCACACCCTCGGTAATATTTCTACTTTATTCGATAGAAAATGACACTCTGAATAGAATGACATATAATATGTCAACTTTTGACATTTTCGCATATATTTTAATTGTAATTGTAACACGCGGTTCATAACGACAATTTGACTCAAAATACCAAGTGTGTGGTATCAATATATTCATAAAAAAATGCTTTTTCCAAATATGCTAATGAGTCACCCTTGTTTCATTTGAAAAAATTGACATATGTATGATTAAAAATACGATTTGTACATCTTTTAACCGGCCTAGACAAGACACGAAACCTATTAGACGATCAAAACTATTTTTCCAAGGCTCCTTGATTAAAACTTAGTGTTTTTAACAACACCATGGCACCCTGGATTGAAATTTATAATAGGATATGTTTTTAAGCGACAATGTCAAAAGTTGACATATGATATGTCATTCTATTCAGAGTGTCTTTTTTTATCGAATAAAGTAGCAATATACCGAGGGTGTCTTTAAAAATCAAAAGATGTAATCATTTCGGTGAAACAGGAAGAGACCAAAAACAATTGAATACGTCAATAAATCCTAATTTATGTCATATACACCTACTAACATACAAATCTGTTTTTTTTATCTGAAAAAATAAAAAAGTTATAGGAGTGAGCCACTTTTGAGACGACCCGGTATATTAAAAAATATTGTTTCATAATGTAATATCATTTTAAAATTCTTGTATGTTATTTTAGATTCTGAAGATAATTTTAGAATAAACCGGAATATATTTTTAATAAAAACATTATTAATTATTAACAGGGTTATAATTATGATTTTGTTACAATGTAAGTAAGTAAATAATGTAATGTAAGAGAAAAAATTCAGATTTTACATTTTACTAAAATATTATCTAAATAAGCGCCTTTCTACAACAACGCCACTGACTCCCAATGGGTAAATTGAGAGTTGCCTACCGGTCAAAAGTCGTTTCAAGACTTAAATGGATTATTTAAGTCAAATTTCTTGCAAATTTGGCACTGGCGAACCATATTTTATAGTTCTTGAACAGAAAAAGTCAATAAAATAAACACTTAAGCACTACAAGCTAAGAAAATGCGTTAATACAGCCGGGGAGATAGCGGCAACAAAGCTTTACCGCACACGTGCGACACGTACTACAAGGTAATAAATGAATGAATAGGCTCCCTCGCCTCTAATCGGTGTTGTCATATTGTAAAGAACTTATCCTTTTTAAACAGTATCCGACTTATAATTTAGTAGTATAAGGACTATTTAATACATCTCTGGAATATTAAAACCTACTTTATTAAACTGTAGTATTAATATCTCAATATATGTGTATAACAAGAAAAAAAATATTGATAATATTAAAGACGTGACAACATAGGCTGGATGAGGAAGGCTCGGTCGACTGTACCCAGAAGTAAACATGTGTACAAAAAAGGTTGTTTGTCCGCGTTGAGATGTAAATAGTGTAGTCTATATTTTATTTTAAGTCTATGGTTTAGGCGGTCAAAAAAGGAAGTTTTCAACTTTGCAAGTTAAACATTTGACAGGATTAATTAGATTGTCAGTAGCTTTTTCTATTTCTTAGCTCTAGATGGAGATAACGAAAATCTGTTGATAATCGGAGTAATAAATTGTTTTTGACTGAATGTACCTGTTCTTTTAGCTTGTGAGAAGAGAAGATTATTGTCATATGATTGTCATTATTGATTATTTGAGATTCCACGATTATTTCGGCATTTTTGTAATTTTTGTTTTGTGGTTGAGATCTAGACAAAACGTTTCCTTTAAAGGTAAGTTTTATCTCGGTAATTATTTTAAAATACCTAATAGTAATTGTGAGTGCACATAATATAGTCTAAGAGCTAGCAACGTTTTCGAGAAAGTATTTTAAGACGTCTGGCTCTTTGATAAATCTTTTACTATGCTCTCTGGAACAGTATGCGGCCCGTCTGGCTGCCAATATACGTTGCGTTCACTACTGCGCATCGGAAGAAGATCCTATATATTTTTTTAATTTAGTCCTATAAATTCTAGTATTGAATATAAATCGAACATGTCTCCATTGCGCAGTGCGTAGAGTTTCCGACTACAAACCGACGATTCAGAGTTCGAATCTGGGTCAGGGCAAATACTTTTTTATTTTATTTTCGTATATATTCTGATAGTAAAGTATTTATTTAATAATTCTGGTGATTCAAAAAAAAATATTTAATACTTTACTATCAGAATATAAACTAAAATAAAATAAAAAAGTTTTTGTCCTGACCCGGATTCGAACTCTGACTCCTCGGTTCGTGGTCTGAAACTCTACGCATTGAATTATGGAGACTCGGTCGGTTTATATTCAATACTAGAATTTAAATGACTAATAAAATATAGGATCTTCTTTCAATGCGCAGTAGGGAATGCAACGTTTACCGGCAGCCAGACGGGCCGCATGCTGTTTTAGAGAGCATAGTTAAAGACATATCAAAGAGCCAGACGTCTTAAAATACTTGTTTTTTCGACGTTGTTAGCTCTTGTACTAATAGTCGTACATTACTAATTTACATAGGTAAGCATAACCTATGGGATAAATCCGATTGTAAAAGTAAAACATCACATTCTTATTCTTTTCTGATACCTATGGCACGACTAGGTATTATACCTGGTATTATTACCAATTACCAGTAATACAAATTATTTTTTTTAACTGATAGGTTTTTGGTATAGAATAAAGACTATCAAAAACATTGAATACCTACGGGATACCTACTGATACTCTGTGCGAGCTCCCAACCGTTCTTCCCTGTTTACTCCCAACCAAGTTAGATAAAAATGATATTGAAGATTGCAGCCTTGAGTTGGAGTATGGCAAGGAGTATGGACTCCACTACGACATGTACAGAAACGGATTACCTAAACTTTTAAGCATGTAAAATTAAACCTTAATGAAAAATTGAACTTATTTATTTTTAATTCAAGAAAAGGCATGACAACCCACAACCCACCAAAGACCTGGTAAATGAATTCTGCAAAAACTGAAAACGAAACTAAGTTAAATAAATTATTATGCTCCTACACAGTATTTTATTTATAGGTTTTAAAGTCTAATAATAGATTTTCGTTGTCAACAAAATAATCTAAAAAAACTACGAAGATTTCTTATTATAAACTTGAAAGATTAAGATTCGGTTCAAATACACAAATTTTAAATTTTTGGCGCCAGTATATGGTATGAATGCAACCTATATCGATAATGCGCTCATAGTTCGGGTTAGACGCCAAAGGCCGCGCCACTAACACAGTCTTCAAAAATTAACGTTGATCGGTCTCTCTCACTTTAGTTATTAGTGTTCTCTCTGTCTGGAACCATAATCTACTTTATTTTTTTGAACATGGGTATGGTATTTTTATTTCATTTTTTATAAGCTAAATTTTACATAACCAATTTGTCACTCTAAATCGCTGTCTTTTTTAGACATATGTCAAATAAATTTTCATCCAATCACAATTGTCTATCCCTATCATTTACCGGATTAATAAATAATACGTAAATTACAGCTCTATTACAAACAATTCATTATTTATAGTGATTTGCAGTACTTTTATTAAATTATACGAATATTCTTGTTGATTATTGGTTTGAAATAAATATGACAGTGTCCTTCAATGGAAATGCGAGTTACTAACTGTAAATTCTAATTCTGAGTTGGCAAATGAGCTAGATGCTTTATCTAGACCATTGCCTGTAAACTTATATGGTGAAATTTTAATAAAATAATTTAGTACACACTAAAAACACGGTATGTCCCTAGTGGTAGGAAAAATAATTTTTAGAGGTTACTAGTTTATTTGGTTGTTTGTGATATGTATATACAGGGTGTCTCCTAATTAATCTAAAAAATAAAAATCATTAGAAAACGAATTAAGGCGGGCTCTTAATAAGTATATTTATTTTTTTCTCGACAACCGTTTGATGAACAAGAAAAACTCAAAAGATCAATTTTGTTGAAAAAGGACGGCCAGTCAAGAAAAAAATATATTTTCTTTAAAAAAGCAGTGGTGTACCATTTACGCTAAGCAAAAAAAATCGATTTTTTTAATTTTTAACACCCTGTAGATCAGAAAGGAAGTACTTTAGACCCAATGGTTATATAAAAATTGTTTTAAGAACACATGAGGAATCACACCATAATTTTTTTAGACTAATTCGAAAACACCCTGTATATTGTCAACTTGACAATGACTGCTGATAAATCAAAAAATACATTTTAAGTGAAAAAAGCCTGATTTTCGCAGGAAAAATTTTGATTTTTATTGAATTTGGGCCTGCGTTTGCAAATACTGGTTTGTTTTTTAATTTTCTATCTATCTAAATTTTAAATATCATAGTCAGAAATAATTTTATTATTTATTAACTGTAAAAATGGTGTTTTCTTGTTGTGTTGCATCTTGCAAAGAAACTAACAAAACTGGCAAAATGTACGTGTTTCCAAAAGACGATAAGGTATGTATCTCAGATAAAAAGAAAATATATGGTATGTATTCGTTGTTTGATTTTTTTCGTTCGCTTTAAAAATCTATAAATCTCGGTCTATTCATTAGACAGTCAGTCGACTTGTTGTGTTGCATCTTGCAAAGAAACTAACAAAACTGCAAAAATGTACGTGTTTCCAAAAGACGATAAGGTATGTATCTCAGATAAAAGAAAAATATATGGTATGTATTCGTTGTTTGATTTTTTTTCGTTCGCTTTAAAATCTATAAATCTCGGTCTATTCATTAGACAGTCAGTCGACTTACGATCATTCACATGAAACTCTATAAAATAAATAAAAAAATAAATCCTTTGAATTCAAATATAAACATAAAAAACATTTACAGCAGAAAAGGCGAAGGCGCTGGGTTAAACGTAGTTTCCACTAAAAACACGGAGGGGCGCTTTGGCCCAAAATTTTCCTATTAAGTTTCATATCTATCTTAATAGTAGATCATTTTCTTTTATCTATGATCTAGACCGTTATTCGGAAGCTACAAACTTCGGAGGTTGGCGGTCCAACTGGCTATGATGGTGTGTGAAACAACACCTCTGAAATTTTAATTGGAAGTTCTTCCGAACCAAAGATCTTTAAGCCAGGAATTATTATTTTGTTTAGGTATTTTTAGTGTTTCTGTCTTTTTCACTTTATATTGGAAATTCTGTATTACAATGATATTAACCAAGTATACTAATTTTGTATCTATCAACACTGCTAGCGTGATGTTGAGGTATTTATCGATTTTAGAAACTTATTACCACAAATCGATCTCAGCTTGAACTAATAGGTACTTTCTCATTTAAATAATCTTTCTGTAATTTTCTACTGATTATTTTCCAATAAAGAGTCTATTGTTAGCATGTATACGCTTTAAATATAAATAAAAAATGAAAATTCTATTAAAGAAATAATTTATATAATCGAAATTTTTAAAAATTATTAAAATTTCTAATTTCTGCTGAATTTCTATAATGTATATTTTTATCTTTAGATAATGATAATTAGATATACCGGGTGTGTCTCAAAAGTGGCTCACCCCTGTAACTTTTTAATTTTTTTTTATATAAAAAAAATATTTGGTATTTAATATATGACACAAATTAGAATTGACTGACATATTCAATTGTTTTTCGTCACTTCCTGTTTTACCGGAAATGACTACAACTTTTGATTTTTAATTGGCACCCTCGGTATATTTTTACTTTATTCGATAGAAAATAATACTCTTAATAGAATGACATATCATATGTAAACTATTGACTAATAATTTACCGGAAATTACTACAACTTTTGATTTTTAAATGGCACCCTCGGAATTTTTTTAGTTTATTCGATCGAAAATGACACTCTGAATAGAATGACATACCATACGTCGAATTTTGACATTTTCGCTTTAAAAAATCGTGTTTTAAATTTCAATCTAGAGTGCCATGGCTGTGTCAAAAACACTAATTTTTACCCAAGGTGCAGGGTGCATTGGAAAAATAGATTTAATAGTCCAATGTCTTTCATGTCTTGTCCTGGTCGGTTAAAAGACGCTCAAATCGTGTTTTTAATCATATCTCATTTTTTTAAAAAGGACCAAGGGTGGCTTATTTGGAAAAAGCATATTTGGAAAAAGTATTTTTTTACGAATAATTTGGTACCACACACTTTTGGTATGTCGAGTCAAACTGTCGTTATGAACCGCATGGTACAATTTCAAATAAACCATATGAGAAATGTCAAAAGTTGACATATGATATGTCATTCTATTCAGAGTGCCATTTTCTATCGAATAAAGAAAAATAACCGAGGGTGGTATTTAAAAATTAAAAGTTGTAGTCATTTCCGGTGTGACCAAAAAGTGAAAAACAGGAAGTGACCAAAAACAATTGAATACGTCCATAACAAATCTCGTTTTTTTATTTGAAAAAATAAAAAGTTATAATTGTGAGCCACTTTTGAGACGCACCCGGTATCAATGTCGGTCAATGATAATTTTATATAGACAATAATAATTTTGAAATGGTAAAAAGGGTCAAAATTTCAAAGCCTTAAAAAAAAAGGGTCAAAATTTCAATTTTTTTTTAAATTCTAGATCTACATTGTCAATTTTTAAATCTCAATAATGTCGTATTCTGACTGAATAATCTGTTAACAATTTCTTTTTAATTTGAAAATATCTTACCTGTAGAAGACAAGCGCCTTCTTAGTTGTGTCCTGTATAGAAAATCCTGATATGTTTCGTATTTTTCTGAGACCCTGCTTGTTGCGTATTCATTTTTGTCGAAATTTTTCGATGTTACATCCGCTCCTCCTTTTTCAGTTGGCAAATATGAAGTCGAATATATGTAACCATTAGTGGACTCCATGCTTGATTATCCTGAAACAAAATACACAATTAAAATATAATATCATCACTAGGAAAATAGATTTATCTTTTTCGTTAGCAGAAAATCTAAGTCCAATTTTTTAGCAAAGCTCTTCTTGTTGAGTATCAAAGATTCTAATATAAAAAGTACAGAAAGTACCAGCTAATTCACTAATAGGGCCCAGGGCATAGAATAAATTTTAATAACGCCAAAATTATAATGAAATAAGGGATAGCCTCTAAAAGAAAAATAAAAGAGGCTTTTTTAATACAATCTAATAAAAATAACTGTATTGCTAATGCATCTGTAGATGTTAGTAATGTATGGCAATCCCTTTTTTGATTTTAAAGAACATAACATAAATAAACATACCTACGTAAAAATTAAAAATGATCATACAGAAAGTTTGGGGCTTTTTGGTTTTGCCTTATTAAGTAATTGTTATCAGGTAGTAATTGTTAATTTTGAAGTTTAACTTGATATAATGTCATTTTAACAGAACGTCAACGGTTTTTGTAGACTTATCTGTTTTTAGAAAACTAAAGTGTTATCGAATAGTTGAATTTAAATATTTTAAATAGTCTTTTTCTTTATTCTTTGTATTTTTTTTTGCTTTCGACGACGGAAAGAGATAAACTTTCCGAAACGTTAAGCATTTTTTTGTTCGTTAGGCAAATTTGTATAACTGTAAACCTAACTTCTGACAAGTAGTTTCCATTTGGGATTAACGCCAGAAGTGTTTACAAAAAATAACTATTTTATTTGGTAGATTTTCTTGTAGTGGCGAAATACCCATAGAGGATTTTTTTTGGAAATATTCTAGTTATTATTATTAAGTTGGTACCCTGCCTTTATTTAAAACCGAGTGTGAAACCGTAGTAAACAGAACATCCATTTTTAGTAAATTATTCTGTCATACTTTTCAGAAAAAAAATAACACGTACCTCCGTAGTGTGTAAGTGGGATATATGATATTTCTGCAAACATAACATACTCAAGTAAATGAATTCAGAGAAAATATTATGTTCGTTCTTCTGAAGTAAGTAATGCATCAAATGTTTTTGAAGTTATTAAATTTCAAAGCTTTTTGCGGTCTGTGGCTTGGCAGAATATCAGAATTATAGAAATTTTTATTTATGTATAATGTACAAATCTTAACCATTATAACATATTTCATATGGTAGTTTTATTTAGAGACATCCCTATTGAAGTATCATATTCTAATTTAAAAAGTAAATTATATTTAGGTGTAATAAAAATAACATACAGGGTCGGGCAAAGTGCGTCGCGCCGGGTATCTGTAGCTCCTATAATAAAAAAAAACTTTTTAAAAAGGAATTTTGTATAAGTGCAAACCTAAAGTAGGTATGTATTAAATTGTATGTCAGAAAAATATTTTAACTTATACAGGGTGGCTCAAAAAGTGACAGTGGATCGAGGTACATATTCTTGCATTTTTCTGGCTTCCTTTTTGATCATTTGACATAATCCTAAGATATTATTAAATTTGTTTTGATAGTTTCAGAGATATTAATAATTAAATAAAAAAAATTGGCCAAGTATGTATAGCCGCCCATACTTGATATTTTTTTATCTCAAAAACTGCGACTTTGACTGATTTTGATGTTATTACAAATTTTGTTGCAAATATTATCCCTAATCTTAAATTGAAAACCGCGTTTCGCTAGCTACTGTAATTTTGGAGTTACGATTTTTTTAAATTTTTAACCCCCTCCCATACCCCCTTACCAACCCCCACCAAAAACTAACGGCCAGATTCTCGGGTGCCACAGTATTTTTGTGCCAAATTTGTTTAAAATCGGTTTAGTGGTTTTTGAGTTATCGTGTTACAGACGGACAGACAGACACAATGAAAATATTTTGTATTTAGGTCATTTAACTCATTTTGACTGAAATTAAAAAAAACTTTTTTTTTGCCGATCATAATACAACCTACCATACCTGTTAGTTGGTATGGTCGGCTAAAAATGTTCTGAAATCAAAACTATACTAGGTATTTACTATAGTTGGTCTGTACTTAGTTTTCTAGAAATATCGTAATCTTAAATTATACAGGCTGTTCAAAATTCTATGCCAGACTTTCTAAAATATAAAATGGGTTTTCTTCGTTTTTCGTCAATTTATAGTTTCAGTATGTGTTTATCCAAATTTTTTAAAATTTTCGTCATGATTCTTTTATCATTTCTTCCATGACTCATGACATATGTCAAATTTGGGCTTGATAGTAATACATTTTATATTGCTTTTTGTCTAACTAATTAATAAACTGTATGAGGTTTAAAATTTCAAAACGACTAATATGGCCGCCTTTCTAAAGTGACATCTCTGAGCAATAAAAACGAAAGAAGATATTGATCTTAACATCTTAACTTTCCTATTTTCCATTCGATAGTTGTCTACATAAAAAGGAGAAAGAATTTATTGGGCAAGTCTACAGTAAGATTAGTCATGAGACATGACTAAAACATGACCATCCGTAGACACTCAGTGTTTCTGCCTTCTGGCTTCGTCAATACGGGTGGAATCAGCAACGATGAACTAGCGATCCTGAAAACAGAAGAAGGGAAGCAGCCGAGGCACAAAGGCGCCATTTGCAGCCTGGTTAGGCAGTAGCTTACAAGTTGAAACGTTACCACCGAAAAACCCTTATTTCGTTTGAATCCATTACACTTCTAAATGGCAGAGATTCACTTTGAAACTGTGAAGTATATAAGAAATCCGGTATTTGAATACATTTCATTCGCAAACTCTAGTGCAGGACTAGTTTCTTCTAATGTCAGGTTATATTTTTATTCTCGTGGACTAATCAATGTCAAAAGATAAGCTGGATTCAAGACTGTTTTATACCTTTTTTGAAGCAGCTGAATGTTGATCAAGCTAACTTCCGCCTTTCCTAATTTATCTTCTGGTTCATTCCAAATTTCTACCGACATTTTCTTCTGCAATAAGTACTTTGCAAATTAGATGGTACTAATTTTATTCTCGACTTAATACAGACATGACTATTTTCAAAAAAAATACCTTTGATCTAAGCGGTCGATTATTTTTGCGGAAATAGGAGCATCGGCAAAGTTTACTGAATAAAATATATCGGTGACCCATGTTGAAACACGACACTCATCCTAGAAATGTTAATATTGTCAATATCGGGCAGAGTTACAAAGATTTAGCCATTTAGGATACGACTTTAAATAGAAAACTGATTAAAGATAAAAAAAATCTGATTAAAATAAAAAAAAAATCTGATTAAAATTAAAAAATCGATTTTTTTAATTCGTAAAGCTGCTAATAAAAACTGAAATGTCTTAACTATAACGTATCTTGTTCAGTGCTTTATATCTTTTCTACCGCGTAAAATTCATGTCAACAAATTAAAGAATATGCACGATTGACTGGGTAAGTAGATTCCAATATTAAATAGTTGGTTGTTAGTTTGACATTTCTGGGACAATCGCTATACCTATAGTAATTGAAACCGTTAAGTTTTTAAACGATTTTATTGACTCGATTTACTTTAACCGCTATTATTTAATAATAATATTTACCTTTTATATCTATAAAGTTCCATTGTTAAAGATTGGAATTATTTGATTTGATCTTACTTCTACCATATGTGTATTATACAGGGTGGCCCAGAAATAAGTGCAAGTATTTTAAGAGGTGGTAGATCTCGATAAAAGAAACATATTTTCTCTTTATCGTTTTTCAAATAAGTTCAAAATAACGGAGTTATTTTACTTTGAAAATTTCCAAAAAAGTGATTTTTTGCTTAAATTTTGAGAACCACTGGACCTTCTCTGGAGTTTCTTTCTTGTAAATTTAATCTAATACCTATGTTGCTATATTATCAAGAAATTATGTTTTTTAACTAAAAACTAAAAAAAAATTTTTAAAATTTCGAATTTTCAATTTTTTTTTCGCGAAAAAAACCTCATGGGCGTGTTTCTGGGGTTGAACTATACTACCAGTTAAAATACTTGCACTTATTTCTGGGACACCCTGTATAATTATCTATTATTTTTACTTTTCTGTATACTATTTTATTTCAGATATGTATTGTCTATTTTTTTGACAAATCATTATCGCTGGCATTATTAAAAACAATCGCTTTATAAGAATGATATAAGCTTATGTAACATCCTGATTATAGCTTGTGTAACTGAAGTTAATATTTGCACACTTGCTGAATTTTGACATAGTTTAAACCAAACAATAAAAAATACCGTAGATAATGAAAAAATAAAAAAATACGACACGGAGTATTGTAGCTAAACGATTAGATTTTTACAAATTGTAAGTTTTGGGTTCGTTGAAGGACGATTAGAGCTACAATTTAAAAATATTTTTACAAGATAGAGTGTGTCCCAAATAAGTAAAAAATATTATAGTTGTATTTTTTTAAACGGAACACCCTGTATATTATTACATTTTTAGATTCTACGATTGAAATAAAGGTAAATTTGATTATGGTTTATCACACTTAAACCTTACCGGTTTTGAAATATTTTCAATTTTGTGAAATTGCAGTAAAAAATTGAAAACTTCAATTCTCCAAGGGTATCAAAGGTTTTAATACTAAATATTTCCTCCTCCTCCTCCTTCCGATTACTCTATAAGAGTATGGTGACATTATGATATTGCATTTATTTATTGTGTCTCTCCATATTGTTCTGTCTTGCGCAGCAGTACTGGCCTCGTGCAGACTGTGACCTATTATCGTCGCCATTTGGTCCACCCAACGGTTTGGAGATTTCCCTCTAGGACGTTTTCCGTTTACCCCTCCACAATTAGTTTTTCTAGGCCTTTTTTTTAGTGTTCCGAGATATGTGGCCAAAGTATCTTAAGTATGATTGATTTATTGATATCGACAGTCTGGATTCGATATTCAGTTGTTCGAGTATTGAAATGTTTGTACGGTGAGCTGTGTACGGTATTCGCAGCATCCGTCTATAACACCACATTTCAAAAGCATCGATTTTACGTTTCATTG